CTCTTCTCTTAAGTTCCAGAGGACATCAGAATTAATGCCTTGTCACTAATTCCAGAAAAAAATGAGGTTTTATTCCACAACTGTACTCAATCCCTCTGGATTGGGAATACCATATATTTTTTTCTTCTTCTTGATTCTGTCTTCATGTTCTCCTGTCCCTACCAACATATCCTGCTTCATCAATTTCTGTCTGTGACTCTAACAGAACAGTCAAATTTCTAGTTAACTGTTCACCTAATTTTTACAGGACCACCATTAGCCATAGAGTCTGAGGTACAAGGATCATCAAAATATACCCAGGTGGTAAGAAAAAATAACCAGAGGTATTTAGATCCCAAGACAAAAATAGAGCCTGGACTAAAAAAAAAAAACCCAGAATATAGTATAATAATCTCTCACTGTTTAATGCCCTAAGCAATTAATCACATGTGTCTCCTTATGGTTTGTCTCAGGTGAAAATAAAAGGCCTGATTGATAATTAAAATGACAATAAAAACAATTTCCATGATATTCTCTCTCTCTCTCTCTCTCTCTCTCTCTCTCTCTCTCTCTCTCTCTCTCTCTCTCTCTCACACACACACACACACACACATACACACACACACACACACACACACACACTAAGCAATAAAATTTTGATAGCAGAGTTCTAAAATTTATAATATCATGGCGACCAGATGAAGATTTTAAATTCCCTGTGGTTGCCCCTTAATATGTTTAAAAATACTTCCAACCTTCAGAGTCAATTTGGAAGACCAAAATACAGGCAATCTCCTCCCCTGTGTAATGGACGATTGAAGATACCCAGGTCCTTACCCAACAACAGTTTTGTCATACCAATACCTAGAATAACTATTATTGTATAGGGATGACCCATTTCCTTCCTTTGAGCATGGGAGACACTTACTGTATCCTAAGGGAGTTTTGGGGTCTTACCTGTTATTCCAATCTCCCTGTTGTCTGGGTAGGTGGACAGCCTTACGTACATCATCAACCCACAAGACTTAAATGTATTTTCAGGGGTATATCTCTTATACACAGTTTTGTTTATGGAAACCTGCCCTGTGTGCCTAAGGGAAGAGATTTTGTAGCTAAGGCACTAGCTTCTAGTTCATTTGTCCCCCCATTTCCCTACCACAGATTTGTCAGCAGCTCCTCTCGTCCTACTCCTGGACACTCAGGCCACTAAATCTGACATGTCATTTCCCTTTTAATCTCTCATGTGGACCCCATAGTCTTGGATAGCCAGCCTCCTTCTATTGCTAGAAACTATCACTCTGTTTTTATCCAGTTCCAGCACCCTACTTGGTACATCACTCAAATTCAGTACACTCTTTCTCTATGACACTTTAGAGGACTTAAGCCTATCATTCCTGAACTTCTCAGAGAAATGCTACTTCATCCAAACTCTTCTCCTTTTACCACCTCTATACTTAGAGTTAAGAAGCCTAATAGAATATACCACCTGATTTAAGACCTGCATGTAGACGAGCTTCTAAATGGTTTCATTAAATAAGAAACACGGTGCCAAATATAGGGGTGAAAGTCTTAGAGATCAGGGAAATTGGAAAGACACAAGAAAACCTTACCTCACCAAAATTGCAGCTTCCTAATGCAAGTTATATCCTGTCTTACGTATGCCTTTATTGCCTTGCTCTTATGCCCTTTAATTGGCTGTATTAGCCCAGCTATCTCTTTTTTACATTGTATGTCTGTACAGAACTCCAGGTCTTTATCTTTGGTCCTGGCCTTAAAGGAGTGTGTCACCATGCTTTGCTCTGTTCCCTAGTATGGCCTTGCACACAGAGACCTTGTCTAATAAATGATCTGATTGAGGGTGTGTGTTGCCTGAATGTTTGTTTACTTAAAATTGCTGGCCTTTCCGGCCTGAACTCCAGCAAGCTTTAATAAAGCAAAAATAAAATATCACCACATTTCAGCACAAAGAAAATATTACTACACCTGCAGCTCATTAAATCTGCAGTGGTCCTCTCCATCCTGTAATACCTAAACTTTACACAATTCTTGACACTATCCCTTCAGAAACCACACACTTCTCAGTTCCAGATCTCAAGGATCCCTTCTTTTGTATACATCTCAACCCTCTGTCTCAAAGTATCTTTTCCTTATTCTGGACTTACCTGTATATGAAGCTAACTTGGACTGTCTTGACACACAGATTAATGGACATCCCATAATTATTTCATCAATCCCCAACATTTGGCTTGCTCTCCTTCTCCCTCATTGACTTTAACTAATACAATAAGTAGATAGCATTCTACTCTGTGGCACAGAATATAAGTAAGTCAAACTAGCTCCTACCTCTTGTAAAATCTTGTACAACTGGAGTTATGGATTCTCAAGGTCCAAAATCCAGCTCTCCACTCCTCAGGTCACCTATTTGAGTGTAAACATTTCCACATCATACTAGGCTATTCCTTCATATAGAAAGCATCTAATTCAGTCTTTTGCAGGCTGTTCTACCTAACAGGATATTCTCTCTTTTCTAGGAATAGCTGACTTCTTGTAGTTCTGCATTGCATCTTTTTAATGTCCTTGCTCACCTCTTATATGAGGCAGCTGAGGGATCCTGCATGAAACCCTCATGTACCCAAATATTAATCCTTTCCAGAACTTCCAATAGGCTCTTCTTCATTATTCTGCACTATACCACCCTGATCAACTCTTCCTTTCTCTTTCTATGTAACAGAAAGAGAGTGATATGCCCTTAGGTCTCTAGGCCACCACCAGGGACCCTCCATAGCACCTGGGCAATACCTGTCAAAATACTACACCTCACCACACAGGGATAGTCACGAGCCAAAACATACAAAAACTTGAGTCCTGTAAAACTGGAACTGTCATAGTAGTTCAGGATCTGTCCCATGAGATCAAAACCAATACATCTGATCATTAAAGAGAGATCCAGACAGAAAAAAACACCTAGACTGTTTACAGTGTGTTTAAAAATATACCCATACCAGTGTCTCTGCTGTTCTTTTGTAATCCACACACACATATCCTACAAGAAAAATCATGTAGATTCTCTAGTATATAAAACCAGAGGATTTGGTTAAATTTTGCTGAACCATTTTTTGATTTATATAGGATGTCCTTTTAACAATTTTTTACACTATTAGGATGTTAGAAACAATCCCTTAAGACATAGCTAGACCTATTATGTCCACTTCTAATCATCCTTCATTATGAAGGCAAAATTGCAGTTTAAATGATTACAAATCAACAAGGTAGGGTTGATGGTTTTACCAGCCATTTCAAAATATCATAAATTTGACCAGAAGTTACCTGTTTTAATTGTCCCAATGTTTTGGGACCCAAAGATATATCTTGAGTTCTCACACTAATTTTTTTTCAGAAATGCAGATAATTGTCATTGACAGGAAGACACACTCTGCCCAATATAATAAACTAGCATATTCCACATGGCCATGGAGAAAGTAGACCCAGAAAGAGAACTTTCATCTCTAACATCACTGAAAACATGTAATTTCATACTGTCTTGTAACTATTTATCCTTGCAGCCAAATGTAACATTGACTGCTACAGTATAAAAAATAGCATATTTTACATTAGTATTACACAATATCACAACTGCTCAAATGGTAAAGACTTTATAAGGTGCCAGGCATTGTGTCACATGCCTTTAATCCCAGCACTCGGGAGGCCAAACAGGCAAATCTCTGTGAATTCTATGCAAGCCTGGTCTACACAGTGAGATCCAGGACAGGAAAAAAACTATGCAGAGAAACCCTATCCCAAAAATCCCCCCCCCCAAAAAAAATGCTAAAATGGCTACACCTATACACCATATTCTATATAGAGGGTGAGTTAGTTATGTATACATTTGTAGATGAACAATTAGGTAAAATAACATTAGTAAACAGAGGTGTTTATTTTAATAATTTGCAGTGCTGATATTAAATTGAAGGAGCCAAAAGATTTGTGAAATAATCTAAATGTATGCATGAATAGAATTCTAAACTGTGTCAAGATAGTGTACTAATGCATATGAATATGTGTATATGTATCGATGCATATATATATATATATATATATATATATATATATATATATATATATGCATGGGCAAACTCAAACCTATGCACATATACAATTTACATAAATATTATAATTAATTGAAATTCATAATAGAATATATAGAGAGATATTATGAAAACATAATTCCTTATACTGTGAATAAGTGTCAGAGTTTCTCACTCATGTGACAGCAATTTGTTATTTCTTAGAAATTATGTCCAAAGATATGCCTTTAGTGTAACCGTGAATCTCAACAGACCATTTCAAAAATATACTTACACCACATAATATGATGGAAAGAAGCTCCTTTTCAAGTCCCTACATATTAATGTCATCATAGAAGACAAATCCATCTGGTGCTATTTAGAAGATTCGCTGGGATTGACTGCATATGTTAGGACAGAAGTTTTTTTGTGTGTGTTAGTGGATTAAAATGAGGAAGAAAAAAATTTCCCTCTCTCAGATGCTACATACCATAAAAGGGAAAATAATGAGCAACTTTCAAATGACAGACTCATATAAAAACAATTTCTTTTCTTCTGCCAAGGTCATAGAGTAATTAACTAAGTCCTAACGACAGGGAAATACTAACATATATGTTCATCACTGGGCCCTAATCACAGACATACTTCACACAATAGTTGGGAAACAACACAATGATGTGCAGAGTGGGTCTTACTATAGAGCCAGAGAGGCTTTTGGGTATTATGTTCTGAAGTTTAATGTCTTCTGCAAAACAATACCTGAGATCCCCACATATTTGTGTTGAAGAGAAGGCAGAAAGAACCAAAGAGAATCAGAGGTGGTTGATGATTCCAATGTACCAACATTTTCCAGTCTCAACTTTACTATAGGACATAGGTGGAGACACATGATAAGATCTGCACTTGTTCAATGCATACAAAAATAAATACAAAAGGAAAAAGGAAATAGGGTGTGTTTATTATTTTACAGGGAAGTACTGAATAAATCTCTGAAATCAGCAATAAATGTTTGATTTCCAACCAGGCTCATGCCCTGTCAGATTTCATATATTGGAATGGCCTAACAATTAAGAAAAGAATATGTGCAAGGGATTCTGCATGCCAGAACACAGTACTAAAACAAAACAAGAATGCAAAGTTGAGTCTGTGTGAACCTATATGGCAAAATGATGATAACAAGTAATTTTCCTGTGCTATAATTTATGATCCCTACTTTATTTTCTTAGGTGATAGGTAGGGTAGTGTCTACAAATATTACTAATCGATATTTTCTGTGACTCTGAAGATCATGATGGAATGTACAGTGCCCTAGGTATCCCCACAATAAATCTCCCAGGGTAGAGGAAAGAGCAGGATTTCGCTAGTCTCTGCAGATACTAAAGACTTAAGAAAATTATCTTCCTTGCCCATAGAGCAGATCTTCAAGCCTGACACACAGATGCCATATCGTTAAGGGAAGAAGTAACTTGAGAAGAAGAAAAGGGCAGGATTCCTCTAGTCTCTGCAAGATAGGAACATATCAAGTGAATTCATACTAACAGAGGGAGGCCTCATCTTTAAAGACAAGCAGTATATGCAGAAGCAGGATCTGCTTGCTGCACATTTGGCAGGATTAGGTGAATCAGGGCTGTAATGGTGGGAATCAAACAATGTCTGACTTTGCGAATTTCCAAGGGTTCCTTTTCTTGTGCATGTTAGGATCAATCAACTTTGTCTAGGTCAATATACAATAGGGTTTTGGTTATACCCATGAGCACCTGAGACCCCAAATATAGCCAGAGCCTGACAGGTAAGAACCTGCTCTGCTGACAACTGCATTAGCTCTCCTTGCCTCTGAACAGGGAGGCTGTGCATTCCATTTGTGTCTGGAATAGGAACCTGTTAGAGCCCATTTACCCAGGAAGTTTGCATAGAGAGGATTATTGGACCATGGACCTGAGTGAAGTTGTCTAAGATTGTATACAATATGCAGTGCTGGGGGGAGGTCTTTTCCTCCACCCCTTTGCATTTCTTTAAATACCCTATGCCTCACGGATTTAAATCCAGGCAATCTGGAGGCTAATCTGTTATTTCTGTCTGTTACTCCCACCTCCTTATCTTTCTACCTAGTATTTCCTGCTGCTTCTAAGCAAGAGTACTCTGGGGAAATGTGGGATTCAGCAATGCCCCTTGTATAGGAACCAATCAGGAGAGTGATCTCAAATCTACCAATGGAAAGCAAATCCTGTGGTACTCTTTGAGATCTGCTTCAGAGCTGCTGAGTCATTTCATCCTCTCAAGTAAATGTGTGCTGCAGCGCTGCAGCTATAAAAACGAAACTGAAAATGGATGGCTGGAAAAAAGGTAATGTATACTAGGACCAGAATGACATTCCCAAATGAGAAAAGCATGCCATGGTAAGTAGGGGGTGATCATGCTTCCAGCTACTTGGCCCTGGATGTATTCTTGAAAGCCTTGCTTTCCATCTGCCGATGGTTGATTGTGGTTTTTGGCTTACAACTGTACCTTTCAGGTAACAGTTTCCGATATGCTATTTTAGATTCCCCAAATGCACTTTATGTGGAATTTGACACTTGAAATTTTCACAGAATCCCAGGTGGCTGTGAGAATATTCCCTGACTCAGTCGTTTTTTAAATGGGTCTACTGTGGGAGCAAATGATCAATATATCCCTGTTTTATGTCAGGTATTTTACCCAACATAAAACTTCTTTGCCAACAATGTGATAATGCACAATTCTAGACTGAGGCAGAGATCACAGATACTAAGATGAAGCAGTGGCTTTAGTGTCACATTTCCTGCACAGTACACAGGTGCAGGTGACTCGGAGCAGGAGTGTTAGGAATCCTCACATTTCCCTGCCTATCTCTAGGTATATATTTCCTTTGTCTTTTGCAGCTCTCGGGGACAGTATTCGTTCTCTGGAGGTGTTTTCAACTGAACTCCTGCCTAATTTCAGCTGCAAGCTGGAATTTAGCCAGGAGCCCGGCTGGTAAAACCCTTCAGTGCAGGCATTTTTATTTCATTGGACTGCCTCCTATTTGAATAGACATAGATTAGGAACCAATAAGGTGTGAGATCTCAAATCCAGGAATAGAAAGCAAATGACATCAGTGAATTTAGTGATCTCCATCAGAGCTGCTGACTCATTTATCCTCCCTGCCTCCTGTGTTCTTAAAGAAGCACAGAAACTGAAAGGGGAGCACAGGATAAAACGTAATTTAACCAGGGTTCTGACTCCAACAAACAGTACAAAACTGTCTGATGTTGGTTCGTGGGCTGAGTGAGTTTTCAGCTGCTTTGTACTAAAATCTACCTATCTACAAGACAGGCTCCATTCCTCTCTGCACGTTTCTGATTGTGACACTGGGCTGCCAAGTGCATCTGACAGCACTCTCTGTGGTCCTTTTGTTTCCGTTTTTTCTGTTTTTTGTTTGTTTGTTTGTTTTTTAGAAATTGGGTTTCTCTGTTTAGCTTTTGTGCCTGTCCTGGATTTCCTTCTCTAGAACATGTTGGCCTCTAGCTCACCAAGTTTAGCCTGGCTCTGCCTCCCAAGTCCTAGCATTGCTTTATGAACTGCTGCCTTGCAGGTCTTCAAATGGCTGACCCTAAACTTTACAGACATAATTCAGCCCTTCCCTCTATGTAACAGAACTATAGGGTTATTCCCTAGGTGCCCAAGGGCATCATCTTGCCCCCATTTGCACGTGTAGCATACCTGTCAATAAAACTAGACCTCACCACACAGGGATGGGCACCTTGCATTCGTGCTTTAGCAGCTGCTGTGCTCCTTATTTGGGAATCAAAGAACCTAAACATTGAGGCACTCATGTGATAGGACTGAAGGTTAATCAGCATGTTATGGACAAAATGATGAGGAAAAAAATTTCTCACTCTAATGAGCTACATACCCTTAAAGATAAAATAGTGAGCAACTCCCAAATAACATTTTGTCATAGTGACCAAATAATCAGGGGAGGACTCAAGTAATTATTCAAGAAAAAATGGAATAGGTTTGTTTATTATTATCAAATGAAGTATTAAATGCCTGTCTGCCATCATCAATAAATAACTGACTTTCAATGAAGTTAATGCCCTCTTTTCTTTCATATATACAAATGGACTGAGAATTAGGAAAATCAAGTACAAGAGACTCTTTATGCAAGAACCCCATGATAATGCACACCAAAAACGCAAAGTTGATCCTGTAATTCCGTAAAAGACATCAGGATATTAACAAGTAAGTTTCAAGTGCTATACTTTATTTTCCATACTTTATTGCCTTTGGTGACAGATAGAGAAGTGACTGCCAATGTTACTGCTCTATATTTTCAGTGTCTCTATGGTTCATGAATAAAACAACAATGCCATAGCCATTTCCACAATAAATCGCCCAGGGAAGAGGAAACAGCAGATTTCACTAGTCTCTGCCAGATACTAAAGCCTCAAGAAAATCAACTTCCTTGCCCATAGAGCAGGACATCAAAACTGGCACAGGGATGCTATATCCTTAAGGAAAGCAGTAGCTTCAGAAGACGGGAAGAGCAGGACTCCCCTATCTGATGCCAGATCCTAAAGCCTGAAGACCAACATACAGGCAATTTCTTACCCTGCATAATGGACAACTGAGGTACTCAAGTCTTTACCCACCGACAGTCATGTCATACCAAAACCTAGAGAAGCCATTATTGTACAGGAATGATCTATTTCCTTCCTTTGGACACTGGAGGCCATTACTGCATCTTGTGCAAGTTTTGGGGTCTTACCTGTCATTCCAATATCCCTGTTATCTGGGTTGTGGGACAGCCTTACTTACCTCACCAAACACCATGACTTAAATATATTTTCATGGGTATATCTTTTACACACATTTTTGTTTATGGAAACCTGCCCTGTGCACCTAATGGGAAGAGATTTTTTTAGCTAAGGCACAGACATCTATTTCATTTGTGCCCACATTTCCCTACCACAGATTTGTCAGCAGCTCCTCTCCTCCTCCTCCCCTTTGACACTCAGCCCTCTATCTCTGACATGTCATTTCCCTTTCCATCTCTAATATGGACTCCAATGTCATGGATGGCCAGACTCCTTCTATTGCTAGAATCCATCACTCTATTGTTATCAAGTTCCAGCACCCTACCTGGTACATCACTCAAACTCAGTACACTCTTTCACTCCAGAGCCCTAGAGGACTTAAACCTATCATCCCTGAACTTCTCAGAAAGAAGCTACTTCATCCAAACACTTCTCCTTTTAACACCTCTATATTTAGAGTAAGAATCCTAATAGAATATACCACCCGATTTAGACCTGCATGTATTCAAGTTTCTAAATGGTCTCTTTAAATGAAAAACACAGTGCCAAATATAGGGTTGGAAAACTTAGAGATCAGGAAAATTGGAAAAGTCACAAGCAAACCTAACCTCACCAACCCTGCAGCTTCCAAATGCAGCTACTTGCTGTCTTACACATGCTTTCATTATCTTGCTCTTATGCCCTTTAATTGGCTACATTGGCCAATTAAAATATAATTAATAGTGAATCAAAGAAATTAAATTTTGGGTCACCTAATCCATCACCTTCCCACCATAATTTGTTCCATCTTTTAACTTATAAAGTCTTGCAAACTTTTTCAACTTCCGTGTTTTTATCTCTCCAAGTATTATTACTGGAAGATGCCACACTTACTTTCCAGACTTGTCCACTTGTTAAAATTTCAATCCTTCTTCCTCGAACGAGTGTTGACTATTCCACATCTCACTACTGCACTTAAATCCTAAAGGAATTTTTGCCTCATCCTTCACACATACAGGAGTGCACATTGCCTCAGGCCATTTATACCGGGTACACAGATGGTTGCTCCTTTTTACACGATTGGACACAAAGCAGGATATGCCAAAGTGTCAGATACAGGGGTGTTAGAATCAAAGACATACACTACTAACCAACAGGTTGAGCTAATGTCTCTCAACTGTACCTTCTAGTTGGCACATGGGCTATTCCTAAAGGTTATACGTACTCCAAATATGCTTTTTATTTTTCTTTTCAAGACAGATAACTCTGTGTATTTTTTGTGCCTGTCCTGAATTTCGCTTTGTAGACCACACTAGCTTTGAACTCACAGACATCTGCCTGGGTCTGACTCCCAAGTGCTGGTATTAAAGGCATGTGCCACCACCACCAGCTTAACCATTAAATTCTGATAGCAGAGTTCTAAAATATAAATGAAAATGAAGATTTTAAATTTCCTGTGATTGACCCTTACTATGTTTGAAAATACTTGGAAGCTACAAAGTCACCTTCGAACTACATGGACATGGCAGAAACACTTCAGATCTGAATCATTCAGAGTTTTCTGATATCAGGTCCCTCCTTGCACCATCTGGGACCCCTTTTGGGACTCCTCCAATAATGTTTTTAATAAATTACCTCTTTAGCCTGCCAGTACCTTGTCAGATTATCACAGCAAGATCCAAGAAGCAAAGGAATAGTCCAAAGATCATACACTGTAGAACACAATTAACTACCACAGAAAGTCCAGCTACCTCAAAAATGTCCCCTTCTATACCCACAAAAGTTAAACTTTGCACACTGCCTCAGATGAAAGCATTTCTGGGAGAAAGTCTGTCCCCACTCCCATTCACCTGTATCCCCTAACCCACTTATTTTTTAATAAGAAAAACAAATCTGGATTGTTATTCTTCCTAGCCACACTCCCATCTCCATAAAAACATGCACAGTCCAGCAGCCAGGAAAGATGTTTCGTCACCAGAGGACCTTATGTCCTAAGTAATACATTCATTGCTTGGTCACATAATTTGCGAGCAACATGAACATGTAACCTGTCTAGGCACATGCATGGCATAGCTGCATAGGCCCATATGCCCATGCTGAGTAGTCCCATAAAGACAGGTTCCACCAATTCCTCTGCACCCTATCCACAAAGGTTATGTCCATAATCCAATGCACCTTTTCCCTTTTCCCATTGCCTAATAAACTCTGATAGTGGGTTTCAATGTACCTCAAGTATCTCTCAAAGGGTAAACTGTGCTGAAAAATAAATAGCAGATAGGAATGAGCAGGACCCTCCAAGTGTCTGTCAGATTCGTAAATCTGTAATGATTTGTCTTACTTACAGATACATAGTACTTCAGGACAGACACATGGATGTCATTTATTTTGTTTTATTTTTATAGCTGTCGGGAAAGGCTAAGAACAAATACACTAATGGCAGCCTATGTTCTAAAGCATGTAGATTAAATGGTGTTTATAAGCTGTTGGCAGTTTGCTATTCACTGTCCGCATGGACCACCAACCTCCCAGAGCTGCAGCAGTAATCATGGCTCCCTGATAGCGAAGCCATGAAGCTAGGCTCTCAGCAAAACAAGGATGAAAAGTCAACCACAAATGATGGGTGCCAACCCATACACTAAGCTGAGCCCTGTTAATGTGCAACTTTCATAAGTTTTTAGGATTTGTCCCATGAGGTCAAAAACAATACAGATATTCAGTAAAAAAAATATTCCCATAAAAATAATCTAGACATGTAACAGTGTGCTTAAAATTATACCACATACCAGTGTCTCTGTTGTTCTTTTGTAATCCACACACACATCATAAAAGAGAAATATTGAGGTGTCTCTTGTACATAAAAGCACAGAATTTGGGAAAATTATGTGCAATCAATGTTGTTCTTAACCAGGGATGTCACTTTAACAATTGTTTCCCTAGAAGGATTTTAATAACAGTCCCTTCAGCCACTGATAGATCTATTATGTTCAATTATAATCATTCTGTTTTATTATGGAGAAACTGCAGGTAACAGGACTACAATACAACAAGGTAATGTTGATGATTTTACCAGCTCTTTCAAATGTCACAAATTACCAACATTTAGCCCTCCATAGCGTATTGCTAGTTTCTTATGCAAACACATGTCTGAAGTTTACTCTCTAACTCTTTTCAGGAAATAAGAAATATCTCACTGACAGGAACACAAAAATCTGGCCAATATAATAAGTTAGCATGGTGCACATTGCCAGGGAGACAGTAGACCCAGAAGGCTATCATTCATCTGCAACTTCTCTGAAATCATAAGTTTTTCAGACATTCTTCTTAATATTCATCCTTATAATCACAGGCAACATTGGCTGTGACTGCCAGAAAAAAAAGCATCATTTACATCACTATTACACAACTCCACAACTTCTCAAATGGCATAGAACTTGTAATGTCTTGTCTCAGGCCACATATTCAAACCAGAACACTCACCATTATTCTTAGAATAAGAAAATATTAAATGCAAAGGTCACATACAGTTCTTATTAAAGGAAAAGGATGTCTGCTGTGAAGACATTGTTTTCTAAGAATGACAGGGAATTAAAAAAAAGAAGCATAAATATTGCAAAATTTGAGCACCAACAAATTACTACATGAAAGCAAGGAAACAATCAAAAATGGTTAGTACAAAGAAATCATAAATTGTAATTCCAACACAGATGGGAAACTCTCTCAAATTTCCACACTTAACTGAAAATCCATGTGACATTGGCTGGGGCTTATTCTCCTCCTCTGATCTTTCAAAATTCACTCTAAAACTGACACTGAGTTTTTTATTAATAAGAACTTTTAAGATTCATGTTATATCTGGTTCCCAATTTGGGCCTCGAACACACAACCCTGAGTTTAAGAATCTCCTGTGACTGGGGCTGTTCCAGGCTACAAATGGTGCTGGTGAGACTTTGGATGCTGCTGCTGCTCCGATCTATAAACTGCTTCTCATCATGTTGGTGTTGATGGTGTTGCTGCTGTAGGAGATTAATGGTTTACTACTGCTTGCTCAGAGAATAATTGCCAGCCCCATGATGTTACAGGGAAGCATTGACAAAGGTCAGTTTGGTGAAGTTTGGCGAGGCAAGTGGTGGGGAGAAATGCTGTTAAGATATTCTCTTCTATGGAAGAAGGTTCGTGGTTCCAAGAGACAGACTTTTATCAGACTGTGATTTCTTGAAACCACAGAGGAGGCACAAGAACAAATAAAACAAAGAAAAGAAAAAGAGAATTTCTGTAGGAAAACAAGGCCATGCCTAACAGCAAATTTGAAATCTTCAAAAGCATGACAGGATCCCACCATGATGATTCCACATGGAATATGATAAAGCCATTAAGCTGATTAATATCACCCAAAGATCAGCATTGGACTACAAACTCCTCAGGACAATTTCAAGTTGGCTAGCTGAGATGATCCAGATTCACAGACAACTCCATCAAGGACTTGAGACAAGCTCTGCACTTTTGCACTATGCAGAGACTAGATAACAAATGTCACTGCTACCTTTCCCAGGACTTGACAAGTAACCCCTAAATTTTTTTTCAGGATCCCCAAAAGTTGTCTTCACCCTCAAAAAGAAGGAAGTAATTTTAAGAAAACTATGCCCACGTGACCAGGAAGTGGAGTGGGAGGTTTTGGGTTGTTCAATGGCTTATGGTTAATTATCCTTGTTTATAGTGCTTGGATACAAGTTAATTTTTAATGGTCAGACAAAAAAGCTAAATAAAGGAGATTAGATTGAGGGGTCTTGTTTAAAAAAAGAGGAAAAAAAGAAAAAAAGAGGATATATAAATGTGTAGATTATTGAATTTACTCTAAACAGAAAAAAATGGAAGATATAGAAATGATGAGATGAAAGGTACCTGATTGGCTGACAATTGTGTAGGGGTATCAGTAAAACAAATAAACAAAAAATAAGTGTGTTGTAGACTCAAGGACATCTGGCCACCTTATCTAATGGTTGGAATTTTTGGGATATCAGGTACTTCCTCATCCCTGGGTGAATCCCTGGTATCAGCTTAAGGCTTTTCCTGGATCTGGGTGTTGCCTGCCAATAAGAATGTCACAGAAACTGGGTCTAGGAACTTAAGTATGTAATGGCTGCTGTGTGGTCAAGCCATTTTGGGGCCCCTTCACATTCCCCCTTTACAAGTACCAATAATAGGCCTCAATCATGAATCATACCTGTCCTAAGAACCATCAGTTAACAGCTTTTTCTAGGGCTCAACATCTGTATCTATTGCCATTTTAAAGGCCCTGTAGTACTAATCTGTAAGTACAACCCAATTATTGTCTTTTACAATACCTCTTGGTTCCACACAATGAAGGTCAAGTGTCTTATCTTATTGCAGAACCATGTCAGTTAATGAATCATCTATTTACAACTCTGAAACTTTATTTCTGTTATGTCAATTAAAATTATATTTGGCCATCTTAACTCTATGCAAGGTAATTTACTTTTAACCCAGCATTTCAGCTTTTTCTGAACAGGGAACATGGGAGGACATAGTCTCTTCTGGAACTGCTTCACACTGGCATTGGAGCGCCATTGTAAGGGCCCCAAAAAGGCTGACTGAATATATTGTATATACTTGTTGGATATAGTTTTTCTTGTATTAGTTATAAGCTTTTATATTTTTGAAAACAAGGAGATATGTGGTGATATTGCATTCCCCAATATACACTGCAACCTACATATATATAATAAATTCACCATGTTGATATATTTCCAAATGCACACTGTATATTCTAACTTTTATCCTAAACATTATGGCAGCTGTAGATCTCAGCTAAGTCGATGGTATGAAATTAAGCATCACCTGGGCAGTTTCAATTTCCATGAAATGTGGTTGTTCTTCAGATTTTAGGGCTAAGATTCAGGATGAAGTCCCTGCTCAATAAGTGAAATATTTAAAGAAAAAATACACATATTTTAGTATATATATATATATATATATATATATATATATAATTATATTTCACAAATATTTCTACATATAGATTTTTATGTAAAACTTATCAAACCTACAACAGGGATGGAAATCAATGTCTCCATAGCAATTTAAATAAAATGGGGGTGTTTATGAAAAATTCTAAGAACAGCATGTGGATTATTTCTTTACACTGTCTGAATATATGTCACTGTGATTTATTTAATAAAGAAACTGACTGGTTTATACCTAGGCAGGATAAAGTTAGGCAGGAGGACCAGACAACAAGGTTTCTGGGAATAAGGGAGGTGTCCCAGAATTGTGAAGAGCCTAAGAGAGCAGGAGGTAAACCTGCCATACTGAGAAAAGGAACCACTCCACATTGTAGAGCATAGATAAGTATTATGGGTTAATTTAAAATGTATGAGTTAGCTAGTAATAAATTTGAGTTATAATTATTAATAAGTCTCTGTGTGGTTATTTGGGAATAGTCTGGTGGGACACAAAACCCAAGGTACAAATGGTATTTCTACGTGGGGCCAGAATTCACACATAAGACTGAAAAAAATCAACAAAAATGATGCTAAGCACTCAAAATAAGGGCTAATGGTGACTCACTGATCACTGGCTTTCCTCAGCTAAGCTATTGTTAGTGGGAAACAGATGGATGGCTCATTTAAGAGCAGGCTTCTTGACTGGGTACAGGCTCATAAAAGGGGAATGGCACTTTTAAGAAGCTTTCTGACCAAACATTAAATGGATTAACTTTTTTTTTATGTTTCCTAGTGTATTCTTTTATTAAATTTTTTATCAAAAATTAATTGTTTTAAATTTAATTTTTTGATTAAAAGTTTAAAAAAGGAGGGCAGGGAGGAAGATACCATGATAAATGAGGACATCATGGGAATAGGAAGAGGCAGGGTGAGGGGAGGCTCTCAGGAATTCACAAGGATGACCCTAAGTTGTTCTGCTGGCAATGGTCCAGATGGTGCCTGGACCGGTCTACTCTGGTGACCTACCTAGCAAATAACCTAGCTGTCAGCGTAGATCCTTTGTCCAGTGACAGATGGAGGCAGATACAGAGATCCATGGTCAGGTACCAGGCTGAGCTCCAGGAATCCAAATGATGAAAGAGAGTAGAGATGCGGCAGGTGAGGGACGTGGAGATCATGATGGGAGGATGTGCAGAGATGATGGACCCCACTAGTGGAAACCAATGAACTGTAGACTGGTGGCTGTGGAGCCCCCTGGGATGGACTAGGCCCTCTGGACACGGAAGATGGTTGTTTGGTTCAATCTGTTTGGGGGCACCCAGTCACGGGGATCGGCATCTGTCCCTGGTACATGGCCAGGCTTCTGGGAATCTGGTGCCTGTGGTGTGACACCTTGCACAGCCTTGGTGCAATGGGAAGGGGCTTGGACTTGCCTAGGGTCAGTGAGCTGGGCTCTGCTGACTCCCCATGGGAGACCTGGATTTGGGGGATGTGGGGATGTGTGATGGCTGGGGAAAGAGGACTGGGGGTGGGAGGAGGGAAGAGGGGGTCTGTGGATTGCATGACCAGTGAGTAGAAAATTTACTAATAAAGAAAAATAAAATTCAAAAAATGAAAAGAAAAAGAAAAGAAATGTCATAATTTACTAACATTTAGTCCTTCATAGGATATTGCAGATTTCATATGCAAAGACAGGTCTAGTTTTCACTCTAACCTTTTTCAGAAATGAAGACATATAATATAGACAAGAACACAAATTCTGTGGAATATAATATCTTAGTATATTCCACATGGCCAGGAAGGGAGAAGACCCAGAAGGAGAACCTTCATCTGCAACTTCTCTGAAATCATATAATTTCTGACAGTCTTCTAAATATTTATCCTCATAACAACAGGCCACATTGGCTGTGACTGTCAAAAAAAAAAAAGCATTGCCTGGTGGTAGTGGCACACGCCTTTAATCCCAGCATTCAGGAGGCAGAGGCAGGGAGATAGAGTAGGATGGAAAAAAAGGAGTGTGAAATAATCTAAATTGAGCACTTATGCATGAAATTCAAAATTCTGTCAAGAAAGGATACACATGCATATGTATCTGTGTATATGTATACATATGCATAAGCAAACTCATACATATACACATACATAAACTTATATAATATTATAGTGTAATTGAAATGCATCATAGAACAAGTAGAGAGATATTGTGAAAACTGAATCCCTTATACTATGAAGGGTGTTAGTGTTTTCTCACTAACGTGGCAGTAATGTGTTACTTGTTTTACTTCATGGACAAAAGTATGCCTTTAGTGCCAGACTGGAGTCTAAAAGACAGTTTTAAAAATATACTTACTTAAAAGATGATTTCCAAAATATAAATATAAATTACACATGCCAATATGATGAAAATAAACTATTTTTGAAGTACCTATAAACTTATGTCATCATAGAACAGAAATGCAATTGCTGCTATTTACAAGTTTCACTGAGATTGACTACATGTGATAGGACTGAAGTTTAATCTGCATGTTAGTGGACTAAATGATGACGAACAAAATTTCTCACTCTCATGAGCTACATACCATAAAAGAGAAAATAGTGAGTAACTCTCAATTATGATTTTGTCATAGTAGCCAAATAATCAGGGGAAGAATCAAGTAATTATTCAAGACAGAAAGGAACAGGTATGTTTATTATTAACAAATGAAGTATTAGATGCCTGTCCGTCATCATCAACAACTAATTGACTTCAAAAGAAGTTAATGCCCTCTTTTCTTTCATATATAAGAATGGACTGAGAAGTAGGAAAAAATCAAGTACAAGAGACTCTTTATGCAAGAACACAGTGATAACGCAAACCAAGAATGCTAATTTCATCCTGTGAATATGTAAATGGAATACAGATATTAACAAGTAAGTTTCCAGTGTTATACTTCATTTTCCATATTTTATTGCCTTTGGTGACAGATAGAGATATGACTGCAAATATTACTGCTCCATATTTTCAGTGTCTCTATGGTTCATGAATAAAACTACAATGCCATAGCCATTCCCACAATAAATTTCCCATGGTAGAGGAAACAGCAGGATTTCACTAGTCTCTGCTAGATACTAAAGCCTCAAGAAATTCACCTTCCTTGCCCATAGAGCAGGACATCAAAACTTGCACAGGACTGCTATATCCTTAAAGAAAGCAGTAGCTTCAGAAGAAGGGAAGAGCAGGACTCCCGTAGCCTATGCCAGATCCTAAAGCCTGAAGTGAATTCAAACTGAGAAGGAGAGACCACATCTTTAAAGAGAAGCCATAGCTGCAGAAGCAAGAATCTGTTTGCTGCACATTTGACAAGATCAGGTGACTCAGATCTGTAATGCTTGAATCAAACAAACTTTGATTTGGTAATTTTCACGGGATCTGTCTCTCCTTGTATTACAGGAGGATTCTGCCTTGTGGGCACCAAATAACAATCATATTATAGTGTGCTACTAAGCAACTGAGACCCAGATTATACCCACAGGCTGAATGGTGAGAAACTGCTCTGCTGACAATTTTTTTTAGCTCTTATGCTTCTGATGTAGGAGGGTGTGCATTCAAATTTTGTTTGGAATAGGAACCTGTTGGAGTCCATTTAGGCTTTACCTAGCAGGTC